AGATAAGTTTCGCGTCTTCTAAGAACCAGGGGTGCTTCTAAGAAGCCCTCCCCCCTCCCCCCACATCCCTCTGCGCGTGGCTGACCCTGAAAGCCTTGATCGAAGCACCGCACATTCCTCGATAAGCAATACAAGTACCCTCCCAATCCTTCGGGAGGGTGCCTATAAGTCAGGAGGGCCAGAAACATTAAGGACAATTGTTGTACAAAGGGGGGCATCATTTGTCCGCCTTTTCCGCAGGAGCTAACCTACCCATTCCACGCAATCCGGGCTGCGGCCGAATTGCGGCCACGCTCGTTGTACACGGCCTGGTGGCCCGGCACCCGCGTTGAGCAGGGGTCGGGTAGAGCCCCATTGTGGGCAGCGTGTCGGTCAGCGTCCGCTCCCATCCGCTCCCTGAGAAAAACGAGGAACTGACTCATTTAGGCCACGAGCTCGTTGCGTTACTGGGGTCAGGTCGGGCAAGTCCTTCTGCAGGCGGACTTTCGAGTACACCAGATCGACAAGGCTATTTTTCTCGTTCTGGAGACTCCTCCTGTAGGGGGGATCCAAAACAAAGAAAACATAGCCTCCTTGTTTTGCACATTCAGGGGATCCTTCTTGTTTTGGATATTCATCCTTTGTTGTTTTTGTTTTGTTTTGGATTTGTCTTTGCTGTTGCGCCAGACGTGCTCTTGGGGCCTCAGGGGGCTGCTGCCCCGCGCCCCCTGCTCCCTGGGCAGGCCGGCCCCCGCGCCGCGGGGGCCGACCCGCAAAGAAGCCTTCTGCACGGGCGAAGCGCTGAGGCCCCAGGACGCCCGTGGCTACAGCAGGACATGCGATCAAGAAACGCATCACTGAAGTGGGCCAGTTTTAGGGGGCCACATGCGAACCCTACCCCTACCCCCCACGAGTTCTGAAGTGAACCCCACCCTCCCCCTCAGAAATCGTGGGGGGTAGGGGTAGGGTTCGCATGTGGCCCCCTAAGTTTTCCAGGAGCTTATCAAACCAGGCATGGGCCAGGTGTTCGTGTGGACGCTGGAGGGGCGATGGAGCTCAAGAAACTGGGCCAGCTGTTCGGAAAGTTGGCAAAAGAACGCTGGCCCAGCTCTTCGGGAGGGGGATTCTTAATCAGATGCTCGACTGTATTACACCAGAGAAAAACCCCAGTAAGTGGATGGTTTGAAAAAGATCGATAAAGAGATCGAGAAGGAGATCGACCGGAAACCAGGAACCCACCGAAATCGGCCCGGAACCAATGACCAGGAGCCCGGGAACCCGGGACCGGTACCGGGGAACCCGGGAACCCAGCCGGCCACCAAACTCGGCGGGAAACTTTCGCCAAATCGTTCAATTTCCGCCAGGACCCCTTCAATGCAAGCACTGATTGGGGCATTTGGTACGGAAATGCCACGCTTTCCACAGCAAAGCCACCGAACTCTAAGAAACCCAGGGCACCCTAAAAGCGAGCAGGGTGTTTCTTGGCATGGGTCTCCACCGTAGGGGAGGCCGCTGTTCCCCGATGCGGCACAATTTTCAGCCAGACAATCAACCAAAGGGCGGCGGATCCGAAATCAGGGAAGCCCAATAAACCCAGGGCACCCTGGAGGAAAGCAGAGTGTTTATTGGCATGGGTTTCCACTGTAGTAGGATGTTCGGGTGAGACGCCGACAATTAGGCCGGCCAATCCCGCCCCACCGTTCACATTTCCTTGGGTGACGATGTCCGCCCCGCTCTGCCGCCGCTGGTTCCGCCGTGCCCCTGCGCAGATCGCTGCCCTGCCTTTCTGCGGCGGGTCTCCCCGCTCCACTTCCTCGCGCCGTTTCCGGCACAGTTTTGAGCCGGACAATCTTCGGGAGCGGCCAAGAGGGGGGTGTCCAAGAGGGGGGGGTGCAAATCATGACCGGCGGCATGTGCGCGGCCCAGGGGGGCCAGGGACATAATGAAATGAGAAGAGGCGCCGTGAAATCTGGGGAAATCTCATGGCCCCCGCCTTGATCTCCCCCCCCCCCTAGTCATCACCCCCCTCTTTTCCGCCCCCGAAATCCACCAGAGGACGGCGGATCCGCAAGCAGGGTGGGGGCCCAATCCTGGGGCGGCAGCGCTGCCATGAGGCGTTGGCTCCGGGCCCGTGCTCGCGCATTCGTCCTGTCCGGCCGCGCTTCGAGAGGTGGCGCAGAAGCCGCTGTATATCTCCATTTTAGTCGCAGCCGTGGCGCGAGCACACTTGGCCGTCTTGGGCCCCACTCTGTTTCTTGTGCAACTTGTGGTTTTCATCAGCGGCCGCAGCGTCGAGACCAGACTCTCGCGCCCGACTTGTGACGACGTCACCATGCTAATCACCGCGACAGCGGGCTCCTGGAGCGCGCTCGGCGTGGCGCAGCTGCTCGACACAAGCCCGAGACTGGGAAGTGCGCCGGCAGAGCCGACGATCGGCTGCGCGCCGGTGGGGGAAGAGTGAGAAAGGGCGGTGCTTCGCAGGAGGCTCGGACGTCCCCCAGCCTTCTGAGGAGTTCTCCAACCCCAGACCCCCTCGAGCAATGCAAAAACAATGACGGGAGGTTCTTCGCCATTTTCGGTCTCTGGGGGCCCTCACCAGGCCACGGGATCGTCAAAAAACGACTCGGGATGAAAAACCAGTCCCGGGGAATGCGTCGATACCTCGGGGGTCGACGTTACGAACAAAATCGTGACGTCGGGGGTCTGGGACAGACTGTCCCGAAGACGCAGAAAGCTTCTCAGAGGGCCAGAGGGCTTCTGAAGAGCCCCGCTGCCCTCTGAGAGGGCCTTCTCCTTCTCACTTCCCCCCGAGCGCGCCGCCGAATTTGGCCTTTGGGTCACAGCTCGGGTCTCCAGCGGCGGTTCGGGACGATGCGGGCACCTCAGGAAAGCCCTCGGCGAGGCGCAGCTTCTGGCAAGCAAGCCGAGGCTGGAAAACCGCCGAAAACCGACGA